TATAAATGTTGTTTGCATTTATAATAGATTGAAATGGTGGTTGAGGAGGGAAGGTGTGTAGAAGATCCTGTGATGAAAAGGAAAAAGGATGAGGTAATTGAATAGGTGCTTAAATTAAGTACATAATATGATACGGCAAATTGATTAATATTCGTTAGACAGGTTGTGCAAGACAAAAGGGCTAAAAGGAAGTCGAAAACTACTTTGACGTTGAAGTCACCATACCTAACACGGGTGGTAGATCCAAGAGATAATGCTAACACATCGGAAAGAAATATTTGGAAGTGGGTTGTGAGGAATAAAGACGAAGGTAGGTTTGTGCTTTATATCATGTTAAAGAAACATATTTTCATGAAATTAAAATTGTCATTCTTGAATTTGGTACTATATAATTTATGCAGGGAGGAGGTTGTGTTCAATGGGTATAATATTTTGGTTGAGCGTGGAGATTTGTTGACGTTGGAAAGTGGCCATCACATATCTCCACGGGTAGTTGATGCTTGGTCTTGCATATTGAATCACAAGGAGCTGTTTCGTAGCGTTGCGTCTCCAGCCCGGTTTTTTTGCAAAAACAATTAACTGTGTAGGTTACTGTCTAGTAATTGTAGATGTTCATGAGTGAGGGGGAGGTGGAGAAAGATGTGGATGCTTATAAAGTGGTTTCTGATGCTCTGGATTATGGGGGGAGCTTAACCAATCCATGCGATGCTGATATGGTGAGTTTATTGATGCCTGATTCAGATTTATTCATGGGTTGTTGTTATGTTTATTTATACGATATGCATGTAATGTTGCAATGCATGATATATTGTGAATTGTGCAGATAATTTTTCCAGTAATGCAACATCGTTGGTGTCATTGCGTATGTGTGAACCTGAAAGTGAATAGGGTTGATATCCTTGGCAGCTCATCGGCTAGTGTGGCAAAGATTGATAAGTATGATGAAATGCCAAACGTTGTGGTAAGTTCTAATTACTAGCGCATGGACCATATTTTTTATGCGTAAAAAGGGAACATATATATGAAATAAGAGAAATGGAAAAGTCGGATGAGAAGATATGTATTTCAACAATCTAATGTTTTATCATTCCTTTTATTGCAGCGAAACATGGTTGTTAAGTATTTTGAAAATAAAGGTATGGATGGCCGGGTGGAAAAGGTGAAGGCACAGCAGCCAAAACGATTACAACTGCCGTATTTGATTATGGTGTGATCACAATGCGCCATATGGAGACGTACACGAGGCAGACATTGAAGCGGTGGGACTGTGGTTTGAAAAAGGGGGACGGAAAGGCGGTGAATGCACTTAGGACAAAGTACTGTGCTGCAATAGTCAAATCAGATGTGAACGGGGTTAGGGAGAAGATTAGGCAGTTGGTGAAGCACAGTCCTGAATGAAGACTACATGCTTGGATGAGAAATTATTGTTTTAATGAGTGACTTGGCATGGGGATTATGATCTGTTTGTTTTATGTTTTTAGGACTTGCATTTGGGTGACATTTTGATGTTTTGGTTTGGTGCATAGCCCCTGAATGAGTCCATCAATGGCTTGTTCATTTTGCTAGATGGGGTTGAATTATTGCTCAGAATGAGCGTAGTTAGTAATATCTTCTATTATTTAAAAAGAATTCTTGTTTAAAAATATGGGACGTTAGTGATGTTTAGTCAAAATTTATTTTGCAAAAGTAATTAGGTAATACCTGACAAGTTTATGAAAGTCATTGATTAACGTAATCAGCGATTGGATAATATTTCCATATGTGTGTTAATTGTGGTATTAAACGTGAATGCACGGTGCTCTTGCATTGGTGTACGTGTATGCGTATTTTAGTGCAGTAGTATTCAGTTATTTTTCGAGTGTTTGAGGGAGCATTTGATTAAGGAGAAGGTAAATAACTTCATGCAGGGTAAATAGTGTTTTGGTGCGGTTTGGAGGTGTTTGAATGCAACGTTGTTGGAATGCATGAGTTCAACCCTTTCTATGTTGTTAAGTGTTGACTCACAGGTTTTGATAATTGACAAACACAATTTATTCAAGTCAAGATCAAAGTGCTACAACGACAAACACGAAGACTTGAAGTGCAATTCCTTGAAGTATTCAAGAAGGTGCACAGGATTTTATTGAAGTCCGAGACGCATTCGGAGCGCCTAACGGAGGACTCGGAGGAGTAGAAGATTTCCGAAGACTTTTATTTATTTGAGTCGTAGGAATTTTTGTAAGGATGACAAAAATATCTTCTCTCCAAAATTATTTTTATGGGAGTGAAAATAAAAATTATATTTATTTTTTGAGTCAGTTGAAAAATCTTTTTAACTGTTCAAAATAGTTTTATTGAGTCAGTTACAAAAAGTGTGTCAAACATTTATCAAATGTTTATTTTGATATTATAAAATATTTTTGGTAAGCAAAAATATTTTATTCAAATATTTTTCGTGTACATCGTTTGACACACAAAATAATTTTTGGACTCACTTTTACTCCCTTATTCAAATTCATTGAATAAGAGGAGGAGCGTTCTCTGATTCCCGTTGTCTCAAACAACGA